AACTGTGGTCAATGACATGAGACAAAGTGTATGTGAACTGCTGTATGGAAAGTGAATTTGCTCTGTAAATCTTCACCCAAATCACAATTAAAAAAAAAAAGAAAAAGAAGAAACTTTTAAATTAAATCTAAAACAGCCTATGTAGAATCTGTATGATGGAAAATACTAAATACTGATGAAAGAAATCAAAAAACCTTTTTTAAAAAAATGAAGAGATAGTGTATACATGGATGTTGTTGTGGTTGTTAGATGCCTTTGAGTCAGTTCCAACTCACGGCAACTCTATATACAACAGAAGGGAACACTGCCCCATCCTGCGCCTTCCTCACAATCATTGCTTTGCTTGAAACCATTGTTGCAGCCGCGGTGTCAATCCATCTCATTGAGGCTTTTTCACTTTTCTGCTGACTCTCTACTTTACCAAGCATATCATTTTCCAGGAACTGGTCCCTGCTGCAAACATGATCAAAGTACAAAAGACTAAGTCTCCCCATCCTTGTGTCTAAGATGCATTCTGACTATACTTGGTCCAAAACAGATTTGTTCATTCTTCTGGCAGTCCATGGTATATTCTATATTCCTTGCCAATACCACAATACAAATGCATGGATTCTTCTTCAGTCTCCCTTATTCATTGTCCAGCTTTCACCTGCATATGAGGTGATTTTAAAAACCATGGCTTGGGACAGGTGCACCTTAGTCTTCAAAATGATATCTTTGTTCATTAACACTTTAAAGAAGTTTTGGGCAGCAGCCAATGCTATCTGTCATTTAATTTCCTGACTGCTGCTTCCATGGGCATTGATTGTGAGTCCAAGTAAAAGGAAATCATTGAGAACTTCGATATTTTCTCCATTTATCATGATGTTGCCTATTTGTCCAGTTGTGAGGATGTTTTCTTTATATTAAAGTATAATTCATAATGAGGGCTATAGTTTTTGATGTCAATAGGTACTTCAAGTCCTCTTCACTCCCAGCAAGCAGTTATGTCATATGAATATTGCAGGTGGTTAATGAGTCTTTTTCCAATCCTGATGCTGAGTCTGTCTTCATATAGTTCAGCTTGTCAGATTATTTGCTCAGCATACAGATAGAATAAGTGAAAGGATTCAGTTCTGGTACATGTACTTTCTGATTCCAAACCATGCAGTACCCCATGGTCTGTTAGAACGACTGCCTCTTGGTCTATGCACAGATTATGCATGAGCACAATTAAGTATTCTGGAATCCCCATTCTTCACAATGTTATCCATAATTTGTTATAATCCACACAGTTTGATGCCTTTGCATAGTCAATAAAACAACAGTAAACATCTTCCTGGTATCTTTGTTTTCAGTCAAGATCCATTTGACATAAGTAATAACATCCCTCATTACACATCCTCTTCTGAATCCAGCTTGAATTTCTGGCAGTTTCTTGCCTGTGTGCTGCTGAAATGTTTTTGAGTTATTTCAGCAAAATTTCACTTGTGTATGATATTAATGATGCATTCAATAATTTCCACATTTTGTTGGATCATATTTTTTTGGAATGCACACAAATATGGATCTCTTCTAGTCAGTTGCGCAGGTAGTTGTCTTTCATATTTCCTGGCATAGACCAATGAGCTCTTGCAGCTTTGCTTCCATTTGTTGCAACAGCTCAAGTTGGTGTTCCATCAGTTCCTGGAGGCTTGTTTTCCCAATGCCTTCAGTGTGGCTTGTTTTACTTTCTTCTTGATCACATGCTACCTACTAAATGGCTGAACATTGAAAAATTCCTTTTTTTTCTACAGAGACTCTGTGTATTCCTTCTATCTTCTTTTGATGCTTCCTGCATTATTCAACATTTTGCCTATACCCCTTCCCCCCCCCCCAAAAAAAAAAAAACACTGCTGTCTAGTTGGATCCAACTCATAGTGACCCCTCCTTGGGTTTCTGAGTATTCAATATTGCAACTCAAGGCTTGAATATGTTCTCAACTTTAGAAATGCTGAGCATGTCCTTCCTTTTGGTTTTGTAACTCCAGGTCTTTGTGCATTTCATTATAATACTTTACCCTGCCTTCTCAAGCTACCTTTTGAAATCTTCCCTTCAGCTCTTTTACATCCTCATATCTTCTATTTGCTTTAGCTTCTCTCCATTTACAGCAAGTTTCAAAGTCTCTTGTGACATCCATTTTGGTATTTTCTTTCTATTCTGTCTATGTAATGATCTTTTGCTTTCTTCAATTATGATGATGTCTTTGATGTCTTCCCAGAACTTGTCTGGTCTTCAGACACTGATGTTCAATGTGTCAAATTTATCCTTCAGATGGTGTTTAAATTCAGGTGTGATATACCCAAGGTTGTCTTTTGGCTCTCATGGACTTGTTTTAATTTCCTTCCACTGCAGCTTAAACTTGTCCATGAACAACTGACGGTTTGTTCTACAGTCAGCTCCTTGCCTTGTTCTGACTGATTATATTGAGGTTTTCTATTGTCTTTTCCCACAGATATAGTCAAGTGGTGGTGTAGATGTACAACTCACTGCCATCAAGTCATTTCGG